ATTTAAGCAGCCAAATTATTGTCCACATCAGGCCAATTTCCAATATAGACAATTTTCTTTAGGTCAGTGCAAATCCAATATTAGACCGACACGTCGGTGCACTTCTATTGTAAATCTCTCACGATATAGGCACAAACAAAGAGAGACCATTGCTAGCACAAGCCTTTAAGATCTAGGATAGGAGCAAGTGATGAGTTGTTTGTAGGTGAAGAGACACTTGCAGGTCCTATGACTGTACTGGTATTATACAACATTCAATTGTTCTGGAACTCAAAGTATAAGGGCAAGTTTGTTTGTTTTTTTACAACTGCAAAACTACCCAACATGTCACAAGTAGGCTAGACAAGTCCCACCTGAAAACTAAACCGCTTTGAAAAGCTAGCCACAATTTTTCTGCTATCTTTATGTAAAGAGATGTGCTGCTACTCACCCAATTGGCATTAAAAGCATGTTTCCAACCAGGCATCATTACCCTAAAGGTCAGTCAGATGCGATGAAAGGCAAGCATGTCTGATGCTGGAATGTCAGTATCTCGGAGTCAATAATTAAAATTAACCTCACCCTGACAATTTTTAAATAAAAAAAAATTTAATCTCCCCCCCACCTTTATTTTATTAATTATCCCACCCCCTTATTTATATTAAAGTCAAGAGATGCTGAAAGATCTAAGCTACTAATGATCTACTATTCCAGAACTTTACTTTGACTACAGTACATGCCTGTATATTTTGGAGAATGCAATTAAGAATGGTAAAATATAGAGGGTCCCAAAGGTAGCAAAATTAATGTTGATAGGAGATCCTTGGGCCTGATCCAAAGAAGGGCTGGGCACCCAGAACTCCAAAGTTATTTATTAGCATGCGGGAGAAAATAAGGACCACTTTCCTTTTTAGGTCTGAATTATTCAGAAGTAACATCAGATTACTGGGAGGGAGTTTTAAGAGTTCATCTTGTTTTGAGTACCGAAATACGCTTGCTCATGTGCATATAATCTAATTGCAGCATCACAATTTAGCTCTCATTTGGGATAGGACTAGAAAGTTAAGAATGGAATTAGGGCTGGAGTCTATGAAGTGTTTGCTGCATGGCATTAACTCCCACTTAAGTCAGGGAACGTTCAGCACTTTGTCGGATCAAGCCCATGTACCTTTTTAAGTTATAACTGTATTTTATTGAATGAAAAATAGGCAGAGTGCCATCCTGCCATGGATACATGGTAAGTTTAAGGGCTGTACCTTCACAGCATATTCCTAGAACATCATTAGGCCCAAAGAACAAAAAGTAGGTACCAAGAAGAGCTGTAATCAGTGCTTCTAACTAAACTGAACCATTTCCCAATGATCTTCAGATTTTCTTCAGCTCCTAGAATCTATCATTGGTTTTGCTGCTGCTCCCCCCATTAAGAATCTAAAATAGTAGTTCTCACTTTCATATTGCCTTCATGCAGTTTTCCCAGCCAGCTAATAAATATAAAGGTCAGCTGGACTTCCAGCAAGAGAAAGTTTAAAAGTTGTGGGTGTATTAGAAAGCAAGTTGCAAAAACAAATATGAAAATGACAGGAGCAGAAATCAGTACACCATGCTGGGAGTGGAAAGCAGTTGGAGTCATTCGCCCAAAGACACATTTTAACCTCCTATCACTTCCTGGTTCCTAGAGTACCTCAGCTTGCAATGACCAATTATCAACTGATGGTTAGTGCACTAAAGGAAAACAAAAATAAACAAGTAACTGCTTCTTCTATCCTGTCTCTTGCCATTTCACTTCCCCATCTCGGTTTGTGCAGCTAAGAAATGGCATAATGCATTCAGGCTTGTAAACCAGTTACACCTGAATAAAAATTGCATTTGTTATTATCACCAGTTGAGTAATAACTAGAAATCCCTTTCTGACCTCTACATGTTCAAATCCATAAAGGGAAGCAGTACAACTACAGTGCATACCCACACTTCTTGGGTGGTTGAAGGTCTTTGGCCTTGTGCCTTATGATGCAATCATGTCTTGGGAGCACTGAGGGGAGAAAGTTCAAAAATGTTTATAACAGGCCTTATTCTGCTCTCAAAGCCAACTCCCATGACTTTGTGAAAGCCAAGTTAAATTAATGGCTAATGCTCTTGAAAATCCTATCCCTTTATATATAACCACAGATGTTGTGAAGATTATATTCCCCATGCAGGTTGCGGAAAACTTTATTTTTAAAGTAAAAGGGAAAATGTCGGGGGGGGGGGAATATTTATACACACGTGGAATGCAAGTTTCTACACAAAACAAACAAATCTTTGGGTGCCCACTGAAGTGTCAGTATTAACAATAACATTTTTTTTAAAAGTTACAGAATTGTAAGGGTGAAATACACCAGTTTCACTTCTGCATTCCTCTCAGACTGGACTCAAGTTTCCTCAACTCTTTAGTCCCAGGGTTTCAAGTACAGCAGCAGTGGCAGGAACAATGGACTAGCTAAAAGCAATCATTTGTTTTTAAACCACTGTTGACATTGGAATTTAAAAGATTTCCTTCACACTAGATACAAGCCATGTCAGGTTTTGAAAAGTTTCTTTTACAAAACTGAACTTTGACCAATGTTAAGTTGCTGGTAACCCTTCAACTCCTGTCCTTAAAAAAGGGAAAGTTGTCTAGCCCCTAAGGACTGGAGCTATGTCCAAATAAGAACTTGTGCAGCAAAGCTCTTCCTGAGCTTGACCATGAATAGCAAATGCCTCTGCCGTTGCTACCAACTTTCCCAAGCAAGCACAGCATGGCACTGTCCAAGTATTGACCAATTTCACTGAAGCTACTGAAAATCCTAAAAATAGCAATGAAAATAGCTGGTTTCATTCTGCTATAGCTTGAGCAGGAACACATGGAGACACTTGGGTATTCACAGATCTTTAAGATAGGTAGAGAAGGGGAAAAAATGTCTATCCTCACAGCATTTAGTACAGAGGTTCTTAACTTCTTTGGACATGAGGCACCCCTGCAAAACTTTTGTAAGTCAAGTGACACCCAATTCATAAAACAAATTTATACATTGTAGGATTTACTTCCTTGTTGAGGGGTCTAGCAGTGGGGTTGGCAGGGACAAGCTTGAGCCTGCCCTTTTTGCCTATGTTCTCACACCTCAGTTATTTCCTCAAACCTCAAGGCACCCTTCAAAGGATCTGGTGGCACCACAGGATGCAGTGGTACCCTGGTTGTGAATCACTCCTCTAGCCAGAGGGGGTAGGTGTTAGCAGACATGCTTCTTCCTGCACCCTATCAAGTGGCTGAGATCCTCCTCTCCCTCTGAAGCGAACTGAAGGACTTCAGAGCAATCAGAGAGAAATGGATCTGAAACAGAAAGCCCCAACAAGGCCTGGGACCAACTATTAGCAGCTGGGAAAGGAGGTTGAAGGGCAGCTTCCCAAAACATTCCTCTATGGAGTCAAGCTTCAGCTACTGGACCTAGATCCCATGGGTGAGGGGAAAAAAAATGCCCATTAAAAAAAGAAAAGCGAAGACAAAATCTCCATCTCTCTCCACTCCCTTTTAAGTCTTTTGAAGGTCACCTTGTAGTTTAATATTTCTTTCATGCTCCACATTACTCCAGCAAGATTCAATACAGTGTTGAAATCACCTAAGTACATGATGTAACACACTTAATGAAAACTAGTTACCACAGGGAAGGGACTATAACCTTCATAGGCTTGAACATCCAGACGATTATAATTCAGCTTCAGGAATGCACTACAATAGCCACACACACTCCAGCATCTTCCCCACCAACACCTCTTTAAGGACGGAACAGGAGGTTGGGGGGGGGG